AAAAGAAAAAAAGAAAAAAAGAAAAAGCTTTAGGGTGCAAGCTGCTCGTTGAATCCAGCTCTCTTTATCTTAAACCAAAGTTTCTTCTTTCTCTACCCTTACCATCCTCTTCTTTCTCTACCTCCTTTGCCTGCTCTCCTTCCTCCCTTTGCAACTCCAATCTCCTACAACGAGCAGACCTCTTCCTTTCTTTCTCTAGCTTTTGACCCTCATTTACGTTCTCATATTACCGCACTAAAGAAAACCAAAAACTCCAAACCTATGTCAGGCCTTAGAGAGAAAAATAAAAAACCGTGGTGTCCCAATAAACCCTAGTTTTCCTATGTTTTTGTTTGGATTGAGGAGAGAGAAAGAGAGAAAAAGGGAGCAAGAAAGAGGGGCTCTCATGCTGGTGCTAGGCTTCTTCCTCTCCAAGTGAGGTGTTGCTTCTTCTTCTTCTAATGACTGAAAGGGAGTGATTCCACAAATATAGAGGTTCTTTGCAAACTTTACTTTCTTTGATGGGGCCGTGGTCTCATATTCTTCTTCTTTTAGTTAGTCTCAGAAGAAGCTTGTAGGTTGAGCTCTTTCTCCAATTTGCTGCGATGGGTGGAGTTTTCTTGTTTAGCGAGGTGGTCTTAATGGTTGGCTATGGTTGCAGAGTTCAAGGAGAGAGGCAAGGAAGGAGAGTATGTTGTGGTGCTTGGTAAACGGGCTTGACAACTAGCTTGTAGTAGAATTAATCTATAAATTCAAATGTTTGTGAATTTCTGGGTAGAAGAATATCCCAACCTTGAATCCTTTATTCAATAGTCCTTTTGCTATTTTTTTTTCTATATGAATGTCTAATGAACACTTTGTATAACCGAGGAAAGTTGAAAGAAGTGGCTATGTGGAATTCATCATCATCATCATCCAAGCTTATCCTAATTATTTGGGGTCGCTTACATGAATCTTGTTCCACCATTCTGCTCTATCAAGGGCCATAATTTCAGTTAGACTATAAGTTACCATATCTCTTCTCACTACTTCCATCGTTATCCTATTGGGCCTTCCCCTTGCCCTTTTAGAGCCTTTTACTTGAACCAAATTGCCCCTCTTAACCGGTGCTATATTAGTTTGCATTGCACATGGTTAACCCACCTAAGTTTACTTTCCCACATCTTATTGCCTATTGAAGCCACCCCTTAGATTTCTCATATGTATTTTTGAATTCTATCCTTTTTTGTCTTGCCACTCATCTATCTCAACATCCTTATCTCAGCTACACCCGTCCTGTAGATATGTTGTTTCTTGATTGCCCAACATTCCATCCCACAAAGCATGGCTAGTCTTATAGCCATCCTATAAAGCTTCTCCTTCAGTTTCATTGGTATATGCTGTGATCACATAAAACTCCAGATGCACATCTCCACTGCAACTACCTAGCTCTAATTTTATGCGTCCTCAATCTCTCCATTCTCTTGTATTATTGACTTAAGATATTGAAAATAATCTCTATTATTGCTAAATTTGCATTCCATATATTCTGTCTTAGCTAATTTTAAAACCTTTAGATTCTAGAGTATTCTCCAAAGTTCTAACTTTGCTTTTACACCGCCTTTAGTCTCATCAATCAAAACTGTCATCCACGAATAATATACACCACGGTACCTCATTCTGTAGATGCCTAGTTAATTTGTCCATAACAAAAATAAAGTGATATGGGCTGAATACTGACCTCAGACGCTGGCCTACTGTCACTTAAAACTCCCTTGTCTCTTCACTAGTTGTCCTTACACTAGTTAGCGCTCCCTCGTGTATATTTGTAACCATGTCTGTCAATATATCTTCTAGAAACTCCTTTCTTTTCTAACACTCACTGAATTAACTCTCTAAGTATCCTATCGTATGTTTTCTCTTAATCAATAAAGGCCACGTGAAGGCTTCTTCCCATCTCCCTAAACATGTTAATCAGTTACCTAAGTAGAAAAATAGTCTCAATTGTTGACTTCCCTGGCATAAAATCAAGTTAATTTTCTGACACACCCATTTCATGTCTTAGTTGTTGGTCAATAACGCTCCCTTATAGCTTCATAGTGTGGCACATGATTTTGACCTCTCGATAGTTCGTACAGTCAGTATGTTTCCTTTGTTTTTTAAATAGGTACCACAATAAGTTTTCTCCATTCATTTGACATTATCTTTGTTCTCAATATCTTGTTGAAAAGCTTGGTCAACTAAAAAATGTCAATCTCTCCCATGCACTTCCAAACCTCTATTAGGATACTATATAGTCCTAAAGCCTTTCCTATCTTCATCTTTTTTAGAGCTTCTTTCACTTCAAGTATCCTAATCCTGTGAATATATGTATTGCCTTAGACCTCATTTATGTTGAAGGTTTATCCTAATGTTGTGCTGTCAAAGTGTTCTTTATTTAACAATTTTTGAAAATAAGTTTACTACCATTTGTTGACCTCATCGTCCTTCATCAACACCCTCTGATCCTCACTTTTTCTCTTTCATTTTTGTTTTCTTGAAGATATCTTTTTCACCTTCTATTGTCCCCTGTTTATTGTATAGATCACTATATGTTTTAAGTTTTGCCTTACTATTTTTTTAGTATTTTTCTTAGCATTTTTTAGTTTTGATCATTTCTATTATCATTGCCAAGCTTTATAATATGATCATTATTAACTAATAGCGTTTTCATGCTCATCACTCCACCACCTAGTTTCCTAGTGAGAATTTTTTTTCCCTCAAATTTCTTGTCCCACTTCTCTAATACAATCAACCATCTCATTTCACATAACATTAACTTTGTGCTCATAATTCTATTTTTATTCTTTTATTAGTTTATTCCTAAATAAGTTTATTTTCTTCCTTTTTAAATTCCACCACCTAGTTCTTGGATGCTTATTAATTTCACTCCTCGTCCATCTCTTTATGTTGAGGTTCATCACCATTAGCCCATGTTGTGTGGTTAAACTCTTTCCTAGTATAGCCGTACAATCCTTATGTGATAGTCGATATGCCTTCTTAACTAGAAAGAAGTCTATATGGCTTTTATATAATCTGCTTTTATAAGTTATTAAGTGTTCGTCTCGCTTTTTAAAATGGGTATTTGCTATTGGTAGGTCGTAAGCCATAGCAAAATCTAGAATAGTATTACCCTTCTCTTTTCTTTTTCCAAAACCGTATCCTTCATGGGCACCTCATATCTGCTATTATCTTTTCATACATACCAT